TCTGTCTCTGTTTCTCTCTTCTCTCTCCTCTCTGTCTCATCTCTCTTTTCTCTCTGTCTCTCTTCTCTCTGTCTCTGTTTCTCCCTTTTCTCCTTTCTGTCTGTTTTCATTCTCTGTCTCTTCTCTCTCTGTCTGTTTCTCTCCTCTCTGTCTCATCTCTCCTGTCTCTATCTCTGTTTCTCTCTCTATCTCTCTTCTCTCTCTGTTTCTATTTCTCTCATTTGTTTTGTATGACTGTATCTATTTGTAATGGGGTGTGTGTTGTTTTCCATGCTTTCTCAGTGGATGTGGAAGGAGGGGGAGAGGAGAATCAGGAACTGGAAGTAAAATGGAATTTCATTTTAAGGAAGAGAAAGGGAATTGCTTCTGGAATGCCATCCTGGAGGGAGCCTGAGGAGGCCTCGCCCGCTTAGTCACCAGGTCCTTGAGTGACTGACGGGTTGGGAGGGGGCGGGTCATTGGAAGCTTGTCTAGGCCAGGAGTGAGCCTCTCACCCTGCTCCACTTCCTGCTGCCCTGTCCTGCCCAGGGGCTTCAGTGACTCCTCTAGGAGGACAGTCCGTAGTACTCAGGCGCACACCGTTGGTGAAGTGCGCCAGGCACTGGGGTGACGAGGGCACAGAGTGAGAGTGTCCCTTCTCATGGGGAACATGACGAGGACGTTTGCAGGTACATACGGCAGAAATAGGAGGTGAATAGATGCCCCTGTATAGCAGGTAATTCGAGGCAGGGTGTGTTTGTCGTGGGGAGCTGGTTAGGAGAAGCTTCATGCGGGACCTGGTGTTTCATCGGGGTCTTATGAGGAAGAGAGGGGCTCCAAGGGGAAAGTCAGAAGGGAGAGCGTGCCGGGGATGGGGCCCAGTGAGCGGAGTTGGGGTGTCCCACGTGAGGAGCAGAGGGAAGTGGGCAGGGGTCACTTAAAGCCCTCCCCAAGTGAATGCAGCCCGCTTTTCCATTGAAAGTTTATCTGCCTTCCCAAAGTGGTGCATGTGGCCCAGTTGGCCGGCCTCTGTCCCCACTCTTGAAAGGCCCTCTCCGCTCACCGCACGCACCACTGGGGCTCAGCGCAGGATCCCCTCCCAGGAAGCCTCTTTTCCTCGATTGTCTTGTGTTGGGCGAGGGCGGGCTTGGTCTCCTTGGGGGCGCCATCTGTTCTGGGCCCACGTGGGAGCTGACGGGGGCCAGCAGCCCCTCCCCCAACGCCCGCTTGCCTCTTCTCCAGATCGTGACGTCCGCCTCGACGGACCTCCAGGACTACACTTACTATTTTGTGCCAGCTCCCTGGCTGTCAGTGAAGCTTCTGCGGCTGCTACAGTGCTACCCACCCCCAGGTAACGTAGCCCAAGCACCGGCCGGCCGCTCACGCTCACCCACGTGGCGGTGTTAGCCAGTGTGTTGATGAGGGGGGTCACCCCAGAGACGCTTCCCTGGTGCCTGATGGTAACAAACTCGCAGGGACGGTGCTTGGTTTCCTCTCCGAGTCACTCTGCGTGGGTCCTCCCTCCTTCAGGACTCAGCCTTGGGGAAGGCTTCCTAGGCTTCTCCTCCCCTTCTCCCTTTGCTTGTTGGTGTGTGTCCTTGGCACATTCCCTTACGGAGGGCATTTAATACGACTTCAGAAGTAGAGTCAAGGGCCAAAGGTGGCCCAGGGCTCCCTTGAGCCGGGGAAGCGGGGGATTATTCCGGCAGCCACAAAGGTATGAGCCAGGGAGGAGGGTCAGGGATGAGCTCGGGGTGCTGGGGGGACTCCTCAGGGCCTCCCTGGGCCGACGGAGCCGGGTCACTTAGGGTTAGGTGGTTGACAGAAATCACGCACGCTGGTCGTTCAGATGTGCCCAGGGGCCCGTCGGTGCCAAGATTGAGGGAACCCGACTGTTCTCTTGCAGTGTCCTTGGGGCTGGGGGGAACCTTCAGCCAGGTTGTGGCGAAGGGCTCAGCCCGATGAACCACCCTGGGGGCCAGAAGTGCAGGCTGAACTCCCCCTAACTGTGTGTGGTGTTGCCTAGAAGACCCTGCAGTGCGGGGCCGCCTCACTGAATGTCTCGAGACGATCCTGAACAAAGCCCAGGAGCCCCCCAAGTCCAAGAAGGTGCAGCATTCGAACGCCAAGAACGCCGTGCTCTTTGAGGCCATCAGCCTCATCATCCACCATGACAGGTGCGTGCCCAAGCTGGTGGCGGGTGGGTGGGTGACGGACAGCAGCCCCGGCGACCCCAGCGGCTGCCTGCTCGTGCCTCCGTTTGCCAGGGTCGTTCTGGCCCTGCCTCTGCTCAGCTCAGAGCCTCCCTTTCCAGGAAGCCCACTCTGATTCCCCCCTCCCCCCAATCGTTCACAGTGATAATGACTTTGCTTTAAAGTTCACATTCCCACAACAGCCCTGGGAGGCAGGTGCTGCTATTGGCCCATTTTACAGATGAGGGGAGGGAGGCGCAGAGAGATGACTAAATGTTGCCCCCAGGGTCCTCGCTACTAAGTGTGGGATCCTGACTCCCCGTCTGGTGCCCCGTGGGGCCCCTGGCGGCCTCTCAGTCACTAGTGTTCCTCCCATAAATCACCTTGTGTCTTTGGATTTACCTTCTGGGGAGGCGTGCTTCCCCAAGAGAATCGCTATCTTTTGAGGTTCTAGTGGGTCCCACCCAAAAGAGGCCGTTGGGCCCCGGGGTTCTTGTTGAAATGAGATCATTGTAGAGTGTTTGGGTCAGCACGCGTCAGGCACAGAGCAGGTGACTAGTGAATGCCTCCTCCCTCCCCTAGCTGGGGCAGCTGCTGGCCGAACCCCGTCTCGGCCTGGCACGGTTTGGTTTCGTGGCCTAGAGAGCCGGCCGCAGGTGGGCTGAATTCCGTTGAGATCCGGGGAGACGCGGTGGTCCGTAGGAGGCACGGATGCTGACCTGAGCTGGTCTGCAGAGTCGGGAGGCCCTTGCCTCCTGGAGCCCATGCAGTCGCCTCGCCTCCCTCCTTGGGGGCTTTGGGGAGGGAAGGGCTGGAGGTCTAGCCCCGGAGGTGGGGGTGGTGGGGTGGGGTTTGGCCGCCCAAACTTCTGTGCCCTGAGCTCACTTCGACGTTCCCCCTCCCCCCGGCTTCTCTGTTTTATCTCATCACCATAGTGAACCCAATTTGCTCGTCCGTGCCTGTAACCAGCTGGGTCAGTTCTTACAGCACAGAGAGACGAATCTCCGGTACCTGGCGCTGGAAAGCATGTGCACCCTAGCCAGCTCAGAGTTCTCCCACGAGGCTGTGAAAACCCACATAGAGACGGTCATCAACGCCTTGAAGGTGAGGTCCCTGAGGCCCGTCCTCCTCTGAACATGCGTGTGTGTGGGTCAGTCTCACCCTAAGAGAGCTCGTGCCACGCGGGCCTCACTGCAGCAGCCCCTTCTTCTCTACCCTAGACGGAGAGGGATGTGAGTGTGCGGCAGAGAGCGGTGGACCTCCTCTACGCCATGTGTGACCGCAGCAACGCCCAGCAGATCGTTGCCGAGATGCTCAATTACCTGGAGACGGCCGACTACTCCATCAGGGAAGAGATTGTGAGTTCTTTGTGCCCCTCTCTGCAGAAGCGGGCGGCGATGGGTGGTGCCTCCCTCCCCACCTCCCCCACCGGGTCTGGTAGGGGTTGCCAGCTTCAGCCAGGGTGCTGCAGATGCACTCTGCCCTGCAGGGGCTCATGTTCTTATACCCACCCCTGTCATGGTGGATTGTGCCCAGGGCCTTCTGTCTCCTCAGAATCCCCAGCCTGGGCCTTGGGCCCCACCTGCTGTGACGCCCGCAGCGGTCTGTCCTGCCCTGGGGCTCTAGCTGTCTCTCCTTTGTGTGGCCCCCGTCCCAGGCCATGCCAGGCTCCCAAGATAGAGCCCCTCTGGCCTGGCCCCGGGAGGGAGGACCAGCTGAGTGTCAGAGCTCGCACCCACTCCAGGCCCGGCTCTCCTTTCACTGTGCGACATGGAGAGGGTTTGGACCTGTGTGACGGGGAGGGAGAGGCGGGGTCCCAGGGTCAGTGGCCCCCAAGGCTCATGTTAGGCGTTAGCCATTGTCACTCACCCGGCGCCATCCAGCAGGTGAGTGACAGAAGTGGGATTTAAGCCCAGGGCCTCAGACTCCAAATTCAGGCTTCTTTTTCTCTCTTTAAAAGCCATGAGTATTTCCATGTCCAAAGAACCACAGTGCACAGAGAGAGCACGGGCTGGTCACTTCACGTGGCCGAGTTCTGTGGTTGTCCCGGGCCTCCTGCCCCTTGTCTGTGGCTCTGCTGAGTTCACTTTGCATCCATTCACATGGGGTGCTTGCTGTGGTAGGAGGCAGACAGACTCGTGTCCCACAGGATATAGCAGACGCGGCACTTGTGCCATGGCCGTGTCCATGTCGGAACGCACCTTCTCTAGGCTTATCCTTGAGCTGGGAGGGGCGGGGCTGGGTCAAATACCGCTGGACTTTCAGTTCTGAGTTCTGTCCTGTCCACCTCGAGAAGCCCATTACAAGAAGATATAGGCTTGCAGGAGAAGGCCTAGGACTGTCGGGCCCAAAGGCTCCCCACTTCCCTGGGTGTGCTAGGGCATTAGCCCAAAGGCTCCCCACTGCCCCGGGCGTCCTAGGGCATTAGCCCAAAGGCTCCCCGCTGCCCCGGGCGTCCTAGGACATTAGCCCAAAAGCTCCCCACTGCCCCGGGGCGTCCTAGGACTGTTGGCCAGAAGGCTCCCCACTTCCCTGGGCGTCCTAGGGCATTAGCCCAAAGGCTCCCCACTGCCCCGGGCGTCGGCTCCTCCGTCTGGAGCACTCCGCAGATGTTTGTGGTCACTGTGCAGGTCATCCCCCTGGCTGTGCTCCCCTCACTGGGCGTCAGCTGGCCTTCCCAGGCTTGTCTGTGTCCTTTCTCAGCATAGCGCAGCCTCGTGCTTCACGTGCCGTGGCCTGTTCAGCCACTCCCCTAGGTGACGGGCATCCGGCCGCCGCAGAACGAGCCGGTGTCCGCACTCTTGGGCTCGCGGGTCTTTACCTGCTCTCCTCGATCACGCTGGGTCCGACGGGTGCTCAGGTCCAAGTGGCCAGATCTGTTCACAGCTCCACCAGCAGGACGTTGGTGCCTCTCGGGGCACATCCACGCTTGAGGGGCAGCAGAGAGGAAGTGCGAGGAGGCTGGGAGAGGGTGGGGAGGCGATTGACACACTGCACGTTTTTAGTAAAGTCTGTTACCCCTGCGTGCTGGGTGAGGCTGGAGTGATAATCTTGTCTCCCTGCTTTCCCCCTGGCTCCTGACCCGGGTGAATCTTCGTTCTGTTCCATTGGGACTTTTTCTGTCATTCGTTGGGTTGGGGGTGAGGCAGAAGATACTGTCAGGGCCAAGTATAGCTTCCTCACCCACGAAGTGAGCTGCCACCTTCTGCACCTAAATTTGGGTCTTAGACGCACTCAGCTCCCTCTGCGTCTCTCTGTCGTCCTGTGGGTGGTCTAGACGGGCTGTCTCCTCTGGGGCATTGCTGGGCGCGGGCTTGTGGGACAGCTGCCGGTAGCCAGACCAGGGGGGATGGGCGAGTTTCTCTTTTTTGTGTCTGCTCGGCCGTCCGGGCCCCGCGGACAGGCCTCGGTCCCTGCCTAGAGTTGGGCCAATGCCTCGGTGGCGGCCCACTCGAGGCTTCATTGGAGCCACCCCTGGGGCGACTCTGGCTTGTGTTGGAACCCCTGGAAGACATCCAGGTTACAAAGTTGGGCCTTGGACATTCAGCTGGTGCTGCAGGAGCCGGCCTGGCTTTGCCTTCTGCTTGGACTTGGGGCTGCCTCAGTCGGATGGGGCCCTCGGCATGACCCTGGACTCCTCTGTCCCCGCAGAGCCAAGCAGTGCCCAGGCTGTCTCCCCGCACCGTCTGTCACCTTCTCTCCTCCACATGCCCCTGCGGCTGAATGGAGGTGGAGAACATCCCTGACTGAGTGCACTCCGAATCTGGGGCCCATGACCTCCCCCGGGCCCTCCCTGCTCCTCCCCGCAGCGGCAGCCCTCCTCCAGCCTCCCATGGCTCCTTCTGCTCACCCAGCTGAGAACTTTGCCCCCGTTCGTCCCGAGCTCCCTCTTCTCCCCTCTGCCTCAACCCCTGTCCCTCGGGCGCCTTCGTTTCACGCGATGAAGCGATCCCGTTGCATCCCGTCTGTCTCGCCTCTCGCTCATTTTCAGTCTCTCCTCGTCTGCTGGCTGTCTCCCCCGTCCTGAAAAACCCTCGTGTGCTCCTTCCGTCCCTGCTGACCAACCTGCCGTCGCTGCCTTTGTAGCTTGGTAACCGGAAAGGCTGTCTGCCCCGATGCCTCCACTTCCTCTCCTGTCTCCTTAACACCTTGTAGTCTGGCTTCCGACCCTGTGGATCCACCCAAGTGCTGAGCCCAGGGCCCTTTTCTCAGGCCTCGTTGTCCCTGACCTCCCTGCAGCCTCTGGCACTGTGGACCATGCTCTTCTCTCTAGAGTTGTGGGGTGACTCCCTCCCCAGGTTCTCCTCCCTCTCTGCCCACTCAAGGCCGGTACACAGTAGGCGCTTAATGTTTATGGCTTGATCGACCAATCCTGGCATCCCAAGCTTTCTTTCCCTTCATGTGACTGCAACCGTGTTCATGTTCTCCTTCTGCCTTGCCCATGTTACGGTACCAGCTGCTCCTGCCGCCCGTAGGAGCCGAGCCTCAATGGCTGTGCCTCCGCGTCCTGTACTCTGACCAGCCCAGGGCTTCCATCCCTCCCCCCGCGGACATCAAGTCCAGACTTGTGTAGATTCTCTACGCACTCTGCGGGCACACAGACACGCGCCTGCCCACACGTTTGTGTCAGCGCCCTCTTTAGCACGGCTGCTTTGTTCTCTGCGCTCACACCCGAGCCTCGAGCCCGGGACCCTGCAGGTGTGGTGTAGGCGCCTCGTGAGCGCTTGCTCGTTGGGTGTTCTGTGTGGTCCGTGGGGACGTCGGTCTGATTTCTCGCGCCTCGTGGCTTCCTTTGTCCCCGCAAGTGGTCAGACCCTGGCCCGTCCTTGCTGTGGTTGGCCCCCTCCTCAGTTTAAGTGATTGGTGGGGGCTTTGCAGTGGGCCCTTAGGCCAAGGGCCCTTGGGTCAGACTGAGCCTGGCTCCTCCCTTGTGAAGGTCCTGAAGGTGGCCATCTTGGCCGAGAAGTACGCCGTGGACTACACCTGGTACGTGGACACCATCTTGAACCTGATTCGAATTGCCGGGGATTATGTCAGCGAGGAGGTGTGGTACCGCGTCATTCAGATCGTGATCAACCGGGATGATGTGCAGGGCTACGCGGCCAAGACCGTGTTTGAGGTGAGCGCGGGGGCCGTGGTGGCGTTGGCCAGCGGCTGGGCGGTTTGGGGCGTGGACGCCGCCATGGTTCTTGCCGTGGCTGGCGGGGGCACTGGGGATGGGATGCTTCGGTGGGATCTGCCCCTTCAGGTCTTCAGATTTTGTCCCTGGGTTTTCCTTTCTTTCTCTGGGGGATGGAAGGTTTCGGGGGGCACCCTTTGCCCGTGTCAAGAATTGGGAGAAGAGGGTCCTTCTCCACGTGGGGACCCTGTCCCCCTATCTCTGCTGGAGGTGGCCATGGGGAGCGGGAGTGGTCCGGAGGGCGGCTCCTTGTCTGTCTTCAGCCTTCTCTTACGGTGGAAGAGGCAGCGGGAGCGCCTTCTGCGGCCCAGCCAGGCGTGGGCTGCCCCCGCCCATGCCCTTGTCGACTTGGCTTTGTCCGTGTCCCCTAGGCTCTTCAGGCCCCGGCTTGCCATGAGAATTTGGTCAAAGTTGGCGGCTATATCTTGGGGGAGTTTGGAAACTTGATCGCGGGTGACCCGAGGTCCAGGTAAGAGCCCCCTGCCCCTGCTACCCCCGGCTGCCGCCGGCTGTCCCAGGCCTTGCTCGGACCCTCACTCTCTCCCTTCTTCCCGCCCAGCCCCCTCATCCAGTTTAACCTGCTGCACTCCAAGTTCCATCTGTGCAGCGTGCCCACGCGCGCCCTGCTCCTGTCCACCTACATCAAGTTCGTGAATCTCTTTCCTGAGATCAAGACGACGATTCAGGACGTCCTGCGCAGTGACAGCCAGCTCAAGAATGCCGACGTGGAGTTGCAGCAGAGGGCCGTGGAGTACCTGAGGTTGAGCACCATTGCCAGCACGGACATCCTGGTGAGGCTTGATGCAGGGGCAGCCGCAGGGGCAGCTGTGGGGGCACGGGGAGTGGCGGGGGGAGGACAGCGGGCCGGGGATGGGGGGGCAGCCGCGGGGGCACGGGGAGGGGTGGGGGGGGGGCAGCGGGCGGGGGGGGGGGGGGGGGGGGGGGGGGCACAATAGGTGGGACTCTTGAGTCGCACTGGAATGAGGCGGCTGAAGGGGCTGGCTGCTTGTTTCCCGGCCAGGCCACGGTGCTGGAGGAGATGCCTCCGTTCCCAGAGCGGGAGTCGTCCATCCTAGCCAAGCTGAAGAAGAAGAAAGGCCCCAGCACGGTCACGGACCTGGAGGAAACCAAGAAAGAGAGGAGTGCGGACATGAACGGGGGCGCCGAGCCAGCGCCGGGCAATGCCAGCACTGTGGTACGTGTGCCGGTCTCTTTGGCCTTGGGGCAGATTCAGGGCGGGAAGGTGTGCCCTCCGCCCTCCCTGGGACCTCCCCTGAGAGTCTATTCCTGGGCCTGAGGGCGGGGCCTCCAGCCTTCTGCCTGCCTGACATCTCATTGATGCTGGGGTTGAGATGCCTGCCGTGGAGGTGGGAGGGCCTGGGTGTGAATTGTGCATGGGTGGCTTGAGTGGTATGGTGTTGGGCGAGGTGCTTGCCTGCCCCCAGGGTGACCCCGCACAGAAACGCTGGCCTTCCTAGGGCAGGCACAGGCTTCTGGTTCATGCCTGTGATTTTTCTAAAAGTGTGATTTTAAAATGAGTCATTCTGGGGCAGCTAGGTGGCACAGTGGATAGAGGACCGGCCCTTAAGTCAGGAGGACCTGAGTTCAAATCTGACCTCAGACCAAACACTTGACACTTACTAGCTGTGTGACCCTGGGCAAGTCACTTAACCCCAATTGCCTTAAAAAAAAAAAGGATAAAATGAGTCATTCTTCATTTAAGAATGTTTTGTTGTGTGCCTTGGTAGATTAACTCCCAGGTATTTTATAAATTTTGTAGTTGTCTGGTTTTTTTTCAATTTCCAGTAGATTTCAGTGAGCCATCCTGTGTAACAGAGACTCCAATAAAACCCAGAGGTTTTCTCCTCAGGGGAGCCTGACAGCATTTGGGGGTTCTGCTTCCATGGCTCCCCACTGCTGCCGGAAGGTAGGAGGGCGTTCTCTCCCCTTGTCCTCAGGCCCCGGTTTGGCTATGCCTCCCTGTGCTTTCATTGGGGCAGGGGGCACCTGCCGAACAAACAAGCCCCACCCCCTCCTGCCCCAACCGTGGAGCCTGTGAGATCAGCCCTGTGCCCAGGGCACAGTTGGCAGAACTCTGTCTGAGCAGGGAAGTGCAGAGGCATTATACCCACTTTACAGGTGGGGTGACTTCGGTCTTTCGATTAAATAGCTTGTGACTGTCCGAGGCAGCATTCACACCCGGGTCCAGTCCGGTGTTCACTAGTCGAGGGAATTCTCAAAGGAAGCTCTAATATCGCTCTTAATTTGGAGATCTTGGGGCCTAGACTTTGGAGGCTGAGCTCTGGGCTCTGTTTCCACAGGCGGCTCTGGCGTCCTTCTGTCCCAGCACTCACCCAGCAGGGCCCCAGAATTCCGACCTCTGGGGAAAATGGGTCCGAGCTCGGGCCTTTAGGTCTGCAGTGATGACCTAGATAAGCATCAGTGGCGCCGGCCACTGGGAAGGGCTGGGGAGCGTCCCTGTCTGCAGCTTGTGCTGGAGTTCTTGGGGTGGGGGGCGCACTTCTGAGGGCTGCCTCTGTCTCTCAAGCTAAGGAGCCCTGAGCTGGCCAGAGCCACCCAGAGCCCTGGCTGTGCCGTGGGCCTGCGTCACCGATGCCTTCTCTCGAGCGCAGCCATGGAGTCTGCCCTGGGGAGCTCCTGGTCCAGTGCGAGCATGTGTGTAGCCTGGGAGGGGGCTCTGGGGTGGAGTCGGATGATGGCCCACTGTGACTCTGCTCTGTGTCTGTGCCCCCTTTGAAGGTGTCTCCTGCTGCTCAGGCTCAGGACGTATGGCCTAAGCTGGCTCTCGTGTCCAGACCACGCCCTTCCGCTCCTCTGGTCTCTCCCTGCCCACAGCCAGGAGCATCCCTGCTGCCCCCTGGACACCCCCTGCTGGAGGTTCCCTTGGGTCTTAGCTGGGGGGGGGGGCTGGGGCGTGGCTGCGGCGGGGCTGGGTCGTGGCTGTGGCTACTTCTGGCCAGAACTAACTGGTGTGTGTTGGTTGTGTCGCGCATGGCGAGGGCTGCCGTGTGATGCTGGATGGAGTGTTCTGGTCACCCTTTTCCAGATGGGTGGCCGGGGTTAATGTCATTCCTGTCTGTCGAGCGCCAGCTTTTCTTTCTTTCTTTCTCTCTCCTCATTCACTAAGGAGGGGCCACACCCTGTTGCGCGTTTCTTCAGCTGGGACATCGACAGGTGTAGGAGGGCACTTGGGACCCGGGATGGCCAGCTTAGTAGGAGACAGCATTTCTTTGTTGCTGTGCCCTCGGAGAGGGGCCCAGAAAGCCGGGATTTGGTCCCTTCAATTCTCTGAGCTTTTTTCTTTTAAGTCTCTTCTTTTCCATGGTTCCTTCTGAAGCTGTTTGGGTAAATCTTTTTCTTCCTGGCTGGCTTCCTCTTGTCAGCTGCCTCTTAATGGGAAAGATGCGTGTGGGAGCTGAGACTCCAGCCCCGAGAGGCTGGTTGGTCTGCTGAAAACCAGCAGCATGAAGCTTGGGACGGACCTCCTGCCCCGCAGGTGAGCAGAGCCCAACTTTAACATAAAGTTCCAAGTTGAGAAATAGGCTGGAAGAATGAGCAAGCAGCCGCAACAGCAACAACAAAGAATTTGACCATAAAATGCTACTGTGGTGGCAGGGAAGACCAAGACATAAATTCAGAAGATAACAGTGTGAAAACAGCTCCAAACAAAGCCTCAAAGAAAAATGCTGATTGGACCCCAGCCCAACAAGAATTCCTGGTAGAATTAAAGAAAGAGATAAGAGTTGGTAGAGGAAAAATTGGGAAAAGAAATGAGTGATGCAAGAAAATTATGAAAGGAAAATTAATAGCTTGGTAAAAGAGGCACCAAAAAATACTGAAGAAAAGAACATCTTAAAAACCAGAATTGGCCAAATGGTTGGGGGAAAAAAAAAAGGCTCGAAAAAATCTCTGAAAAGAACTCTTGAAAAAAGTAGAATTGGCCAGATGGAAAAGGAGGTACAAAATCTCACTGAAGAAAATAATTCCTTAAAAATTAGAATTGGGAAAGTGGAAGCTAATGACTCCATGAGACATTCAGAAGCAATAAAATGATGTCAGAAGAATGAAAAAATAGAAAATATGAAATATTCTACTGGAAAAACAGCTGACCTAGAAAATAGATTGAGGAGAGATAATTATAATATTTTCGGACTACCTGAAAGCCATGATCAAAAAAAGAGCCTAGACATCATACTTCAAGAAATTGTACAGGAAAATTGCCCTGATATCTTAGATCCAGAGGGTAAAATTGATATTGACGGAATCCACCAATCACCTCCTGAAAAAGGTCCCAAAGTGAAAACTCCCAGGAATATTATTGCCAAATTCCAGAGTTCCCAGATCAGGGAGAAAATATTGCAAGCAGCCAGAAAGAAACAATTCAAATATCATGGAGCCACAGGATTTAGCAGTTTCCATATTAAAAGCATGGAGGACTTGGAATATGATATTCTGGAGGACAGAGGAGCTAGGATTACAACCAAGAATCACCTACCCAGCAAAACTGAGTATAGTCCTTCAGGGAAAAAATGGACATTTAATTAGATAGAAGACTTTCAAGAATTCCTGATGAAAAGATCCATAGCTGAATGGAGAATTTGACAGTTAAACACAAAGCTCAAGAGAAGCATAAAGGAGCAGCTAGGTGGCGCAGTGGATAGAGCACTGGCCCTGGAGTCAGGAGGACCTGAGTTCACATCCAGCCTTAGACACGTAACACTCACCAGCTGTGTGACTCTGGGCAAGTCACTTAATCTCGATTGCCTCACTAAAAAACAAAAAAGAGAGAGAAGTGTTAAGAGGAAATGTGTAAGAGAAATCATGAGACTCAATAAATTTAAGCTGTTTCCTTTCCTGCGTAGGAAAATATTTGTAGCTCCTGAGAACTTCCTCATTATTAGGGCATCAGTTAGAAGGCGTTTACATAGACAGAAGACAGGAGTGTGAAAGAAGGATGCACCGGAGAAGAGGGGAGGGAGAGGTAGGGTGGGGCCTGCAGGGAAGGAGGGGACGCAGCGAGGCAGCGGGACCCGGCAGTGCTGGGACCTCACCCGTCGGAATTGGTCCACAAAGGGACGACTGGACACACAGTGGGTGTGCTGGTGGTCGTCCTTCATTCTTGAAGAAGACCAGAGCGACGTCACTACGCTTTAGCCAAGGTCCAGTGTGACTGATGGTCCGGATGCTTTAAAGCTGCGCGTCCCACGTTTCTTTTGAGCTGCTCTGCTCACGGAGCGCAACGCCTTCTCTGATGAGGGCACGCCGGGCCAGGCGGTCCTGTGCCAGCGTCTCCCATGTCCCAGAGTCGATTCCAGAGTCCTAACAGTGACCTTGGAGAGTGTCCTTGTATTGCCTCTTCTGACCACCAGGTGAGTGCCTGCCTTGTGTGTTCTCCACGTTTGCCCAACAGGGAAACAGGAGGCGAAGGGGAGAGGAGAAAGGAGACGAGGAAGATCCAGGGGAGTGCGGATTAAAGGGGGCAGTGTTAGAAGCAAAATAGGATTCTGAGGAGAGCCAGGATAAACAAAAGAAAACAGGATGGAGGCAAGTACGCAGTGAGGGATGCTGACTGTGAGTGTGAATGGGTTGAGCGCATCCATAAAACAGAAGCAGAGACCGGAGTGGATCAGAATCCAGAATCCAGTAATGTGCTGTTAACGAGAGGCACTTGGAATGGAGGTAAAATAAAGGGCTGGAGCAGAATCTAATATGCTTCAGCTGGAGTGAAAAGAGCAGGGGCAGCAGTCGCGATCTCTGACAAAGGAAAACCAAAGACAGGCCTAATCGAAAGAAGTGAGCAGGGAAACGACACTGTGCTAAATGTTACCAGAGATAATGAAGTAATACCGGTTTTTTTACAGGAAGTTTCTTTGATAAAACCTCATTTCTCAAATATAGACCAAGTACAGAACTGAGTCAGATGTATAAAAATAAGAGCCTTTCTCCATTAGATAAATGACCAAAGGATATGAACAGGCAGTTTTCAGATGAAAAAATCAAAGCTGTCTGTAGTCATATGAAAAATGCTCTAAATCACTATTGATTAGAGAAATGCAAATCAAAACAGCCGAGGTACCACCTTACACCTATCAGAAATGACACGTGCTGGAGGGGATGAGAGAAAAATAAGTACACTAAGACACTGTTGGTAGGGGCAGCTAGGTGGCGCAGTGGATAGAGCGCCGGCCCTGAAGTCAGGAGGACCTGAGTTCAAATCTGGCCTCAGACCAAACACTTGACACTAGCTGTGTGACCTTGGGCAAGTCACTTAACCCTGATTGCCTCACTAAAACAAAACAAAACAAAACAAAACAAAAAGAAACACTGTTGGCAGAGTAATGAACTGATCTAGCCATTCTGGAGAACAGTTTGGAATTATGCCCAAAAGGCAATCAAACTATCCGTACCCTCTGACCCAGCAATCCCACTGCTAGGTCTGTATCCCAAAGGATCAAAGAAAAAGGAAAAAGACATTTATGTCCAGAAATACTGATAACAGCTCTTCTGGTGGTGACAAAGAATTGGAAGTCGAGGGGTTGCCCATCGGTTGGGGAATGACTCGAAAGTCATGTTATATGAATGTAATGAAATACTATTGTGCTATAAGAAATGACGAGGGGAAGTTTCGGAAGAAATGACGAGACCTATATGCATGGATGCAAAGTGAAGTGAGAAGAACCGGGAGGTCATTGGGCACGGTAACAGCAACGTGGTCCTGACGATCAGCTGGGAAAGACTTGGCTGCCTGGATCAATAGGATGACCCAGGCCAGTTCCAAGTGATGGAAAATTGCACTCGCCTCCAGGGAGAGAACTGGGGAATCCTGAGTGCAGATTGAAGGGCGATTTTCTCTTTCTTTATTCTTGCTTATTTCAATGTGGAAATAGGTTTTGTGTGATTGCCCATGTATAATTGACATCATTTTGCTTGTCTTCACGGTGGGTGGGGAGAGGTGGAAGAGAGGGAGAGGGTCTGGAACTCAAAATTTAAGAATGCCAGAAATACGTAAATACTAAATGAAAACAGCAAAGCAGAACCAGATGTTGTGCGAATCTGAGAGTCACCTGCCAGCACGGAGTTTTTTGGGGTTTTTTTAGGGATTTTTCATTGTATTTACTTACCAAAGGCCATTCATTTTTCAAGAGCAGATACCTAGGGGAGGCTTTTCTGTGCAAGACTCTGGGTAGGGGGGGGTTCTGCTCTCTCCCCAGGGGGTGGTTCCTTGCTCTACCCCTCGCTTGGGTCTCTCTGACCCCCTGTCCCATTCCTGCCTCAGGTGAGGGGAGAGAACACTGTCTGGTCTGGCAGATAAAAAGCCAGACCGTCAGGACCATTGCTTGGGCCAGTGACACGCTCCGTCCTTGCGGGCTTCGTGCTGTAGATGATGTGCTTAGCTGAGTAGGACGTGTCTGGAAGAGTGATCATTAACACCCGTGCTTGTAACAGTGGGAAGGCTTTTCTCATAGTTTTGCCCCTGGTGGAGCACCTGGCTGCTGTGGGAGAGCCTATGTTGGGAGGGGGTGGCAGGTGGGCTGGTGTGGGCTTTGTGGACGGGGCTGCCTTCACCCTGCCCCCCATTGTTTCTCTTGCAGTCCACTCCTTCTCCATCTGCGGACCTCCTGGGTCTGGGCACTGGCCCCCCGACCAACGCAGCACCCCCTCCATCCTCCAGTGGCAGCTTGCTGGTGGACGTGTTTTCAGAGCCTGCCTCGGCAGTGACCCAGCTCGCTCCTGGCTCACAAGAGAACTTTGCAAGGTAGTTGGAATGTTTGTGGCGTCTTGAACGGAACCGCAGAGAGGGCTGCCCGTCCAGCCGTGTGCCCCAGCCTCATTCACCTGGGGACTGAAGGCAGCATGTGTTCCATCCGCTTGGGCAAGCTGCCGCCCAGGGTCTCCCCTGCGTTGTGCTCCTGGCTTAGTGAGGCGGCCATGCTTGGAACGGCTCTGTGGCCGTGCCTTCCCTCTCTCTGGCCCCAGCCTGGGCAGAGCTCCTCACGATGACTGGCCCTTCTGGTCTTTTGGGGCAGGGCTGGGCATCAGGGAGATAACATCTTGGGAATCTCACGGCCACTCCATTTCGGGCTTGCTCAGGCAGCTGCCTTCTTTCCCCTTGCTGCTGATCTTGTCTGGGCCCTTCTTCCCAGCTGGGCCTCCTCGCTCCCCCCACCGTCCCCTGTGTGTGCCTCCTTTTCCTTGTAAGCTCTCTCTCTTTCCCTTTTCTCTGGCAGCATGCCCCCCCCCCCAAAAAAAAGAAAAGCGTGCTCCCGCTGCTTTTCAGAGGGCTTGTGAAATCCCTTTCTGGTGCTGAGCCACCCTGACCATTTAAAATGGTACAGCCGACCCTCGGCTGGGGGAGCTCTCCCTCCAGCGGGGATGGCCCGGACCTCCAGGTCACCCTGGTCTTTGACCCCAACCACCTGTGACCTTGTTTGACCTTGGCAGGCGGGGCTGCAGACAGTGGGGAGGCCTTCATCCACAGGTTTGGGGGTGAGCTGGGGGAGGGGCTGCTTTCTTGATCCCAGCGCTCAGTGTGAACGAGAGCCCCCATGCAGGTCCCGTGCCTGGCAGCCGTGGCCATGCTGCGTGACGGCCAGTCTCCAGCCTGGGGCACTTCCTCCTCCTCAGCCCAGGATCGGTTGGCCCCCACAGTCTGCGGCCTCATCCCGCCTCAGGCCCGGCCCCTTCCCTGCTCAGCTCTGTCCATACTAACCTTGACTCTCACGTCTCTGTGCTGCCCCTTCTCTGTCTCCTTTTCACGCTGCTTGACTTAGTCCTGACCTGGCTTCATCTGAGCTAGTTTCTGAGGAACCCGCCGAGACGGCGCGTGGTGCCGATGAGCTGACGCAAAAGTAAGCAACCCTTCCCTCTGTCGGCACGTCTCTCTGCACCTCGTTCTGGCCTGGCTTCCCCTGGCAGTGCCCTGGTGCTGAGGGGGTGAGCCCCGAGGGACACAGTGGGGGTCCTCTGGCTGCTTCTCTCCTCTACCTCTTCCCCCTTCCCCTTCCTCCTTCTCTTCTCTCTCCCCTCCCCCTGTCAGGACCCTACCTCTCGGCCCGAGAGAGAAGTCTGACACCTCTGGTGGCTCCAGGCGCTGTCCCTAGGGGGCTTTTCTCCCCAGACTTTGACCTTGACTTTAGGAGGCCCCTGACCTTGTTCCCTACAGCTCAGAGAGGCCCCAGTTTGGTTCAGGCCCAGCCCCTGTAGCACGGGGGCATCCCTGGCCCATGCCCTGGGCCTTCCTTGCGAGGCTGGCGGTCTGGTCCCTGGCTCTGGAGGGGAGGCCTCTTCCTGCTCCGCGGGGCCTTTGGCCCCTGCCGTGAGCAGCTCCCCAGCCTGTGGGTGTCCCTTTCTCCCCAGGTTCGTCTGTAAGAACAACGGGGTGCTGTTTGAGAACCAGCTGCTGCAGATCGGCCTGAAGTCGGAATTCCGCCAGAACTTGGGTGAGTTTCTCCTCCGTGCCACTGGAGGGTCTCCTTCTGCTGGCCGTGCCCCCCTGCTGCTGGAGGGGCTGGCCAGAGGAGTGAAAACGTGTTTCTTCTCTTCTCTCCTAGGTCGCATGTTTATATTTTATGGTAACAAGACTTCCACGCAATTCTTAACCTTTACCCCGACACTAATCTGTTCCGATGACCTTCAGGCCAATATCCTTGCCTGTTGCCTCCCCGGTCACCGTCGCCTAGCTTCAGGCTCCTGGGAGGTTTGTGGCCGAGGGGGGAGCCCTCATGTCTGACTGTGAGCTGCCTCCCAGAGGGAGCACATGAGTACAAGCCCCTCAGCTCTTCCCTGAGGCGGCTCTGGTCGGTGCCCTCCCATCAAGCGGGAGTCTTTCCTCTGGAGCTGCTGCAGCTCCGCAGAGGCTCTTTCTGTCCTCATTCCCTGGGTTCTCTTCAGGCCCAGGTCTTCTGGGATGGTGCCTGGGATGTGCCAGGAATCGGCTGGGCTTCCGGCAAGCACGACCTCACCTGCCGGCGGTCTTCTTCCTCTTTCGCCTGTCCCCCTCTGTGGCCTGCGGGGTCTGGCCCTCGGCCCGTTTCGTTGGGTCTCTTTCTTTGATTCTTGTGTTTGCCCTGAGGGATTTGGTCCTGTGCCAACACCCCCAGGTATGGGCCCACCCCCAAAGGTAGGATGAGGCTGATGGCGTCACTTCGAGGAGAGACCTTCCTATGTCACGTTAAAGAGAATGTCTCTGGAGCTCTCCTTGCTAAGGAACGGGGTTCCCAGGGAGGGCGTGAGGGGTCCAGAATGGAGGTGGGAAGCCTGGGGCCCAAGTGGAGCTGCAGGGGGGCCCCCGGGCGCAGCACCAGCTCGGGGGGGGTCCACGCCGCACACACAGGGTGGGGGACCCTCCCCCATCCTCCTCTCTTCAGTAGCAGGAAGGAGCCCTGGAAGCACTTGGTGGAAGGCTGTGCCCATGGCCCTGCCTCCCGTGGGCTCCCTGCCACGTGTCCCCATCTCATCTTCTCTGAAGGTTGGGGTGGAGCCTGTGATCTGGAGGGGTGGGCATCTGCTTCTGGCCCTGGGCCCACCCGGGGTGGCTCAGCTTTCTTAGGGCCCCCTCTTCCCCTGGTGGTCAGTCTTTGGCGGTCTCAGACCAGTCAGTCAACATTTATTAAGCGCCTACTCTGTGCTCAGTGTCGGGGATACAAAAGGAGGCAGCCCCTGCCCCCTAGGAGCTTACAGTCTCATGGAGGAGAAAACAGAAACAAAATGGAGGCCTCCGTCATCGCTGCCCTGCCCACCACGGGCAGCGGCATTCCTGACATCCTTGTGGGATAGACCGCACGCGCTCTAAGAGCCACGGATGCACTTTTGTGCTGGGCCTCAGCTGATTCGGCAAACTCCTATTAAACACTTGCTGTATGCGGGTGGCTGGGGTAGGGTTACAGCCTTCTTATCTTGCTCTCTCAGAAGTCTCGGTGAATCCCTTGTTTGCACATTCATCTCTCTAGACCCGATGTGCCTCTTTTCCCCTTTGTGGGAGTCTCTTCAAGGCCATCTCCTAGACACGCTTTCCCCTTCCCTGGCTGCATCTTTGGGGACCAGGCTTCCTTTGCCTCCTAAGCCCTTCTTGATGGCAAGGCCGGCCTCCACAGAGAGAGACCGGTGGGGTGGGCGAACCCAGGCAGCCCTGGGCGGCCAGGGCGCCCGCTTGTGAGCCCTCCCGCCGGGCGTGAGCACTCAGTCTGTCCGGGGGCCCCCCGAGGGCGTTGGCCACCGACATAGAGGGTGGGTCAGTCACCTTTCGCGAGGCAGTGCAGTGGGAGGCGGTCCGACTCATGCCTTTGCGGACGAGCTGGGATCCTTAACCTGCCCGCACATCTGAACCTGCAGACCAAGCCAGTGGACCCGACTGTGGATGGGGGTGCACAGGTGCAACAGGTGGTGAACATCGAATGCATCTCCGACTTCACTGAGGCGCCCGTCCTCAACATTCAGTTTAGGTGAGTGTTGGACTGGGGTGTTGGTGCCGGCCTCGCCTGGTGCTGGGGGCAGGCGGCGCAGGAGCTATGCGTGGAGCCAGGGCCTCCTGCTGCAGGGCGCGTTCTCCGCTGGGCTTGCTTCACCTTTTGCCTTGCCACGGCCTGCCACGTCACACCACGCCACACCGTACCTCCCTTTTTCTCACCTTGCTTTGCCTTTTGCCTTGCCACGTCCTG